CCCCATGCCACTGGGTGGGGTGGAAGTGAGTAAGTGGCTGAGTGGTGCTTAGTTGCTGTCTGGGGTTAAACCACAACATCCACCCTACTGAATTTTTATTTAACAGCATGAAAAGGTAAGAACCCCTTTGATTCCTGCATCCCAGGCTCAGAGACAGTAGGTGTCAAAGAAATAGTTTCCCTTGGATACCGGAAAGACTAAACTGATATGGAAGGCACTGCAATGTGATCAACAAGGAAGCCCACAATCGCTTCATAATCACTTGGCAGAATAAAGATGCAATGCAAAACTGGCCATCTCTTTTTTTTCCTTTCAGCTTTCCTCCCTTCTCTCAGCCACCATGCTGCATTAGGCCCAAGTTTTCCGTATTATAAGATCATTAACTTGCCTTTCCACCCTTCTAAAATGCACATAGACACTTTTACCATGTTTTTCAAGAATGAGTTCCTCTCAGTGAGTATTGAGAGCTGACACAAAAGGTAAAGTCACTTTCCAAAAGCGTACTGACAGCCTATTTGAATGCAGCTTTGGAGAGTGTTTCCAGCTCTTCTCTAATGTGCTTATGGCTCCTCTACCCTCCTTGTCATTGTACATCATTTATTTTTCCACTTACATAAACTAAACATGTTCACCACTTTATCCTCTCAGACAGCTACTGAATTTCAGATTTGGAAGATCAAAACTGAATAGTTTTAAGTTGCTCATTTTTCAAACATGAACAACATGGTTACTCATGGTACATACTGTGATAGCCTTATGGCATACTAAATTTAGATGCTCTTTCTTTAACTTTTTCTTCAGTCATGTATTTCCCCTGTTTTCCCCTGTGCACACACAAAACAAAACAGGAATAATTTTTACATCAAAAAATCTCCCCAGTATTATGTCATTGTATATAGCCACACTGTCATTGCTCCCCTCATGACTAAGCCACTTTTCTTTCATCAATTATGCATGTTGACTAGGACACATGTTAATAGTTTTCCTGAACTATTACAGATCATTAAAGACTTTTAAAGACTTGTATTAAAGACTTCTATTAATTGTATGGAACAGTTGTAGTTTATGGCATTTCTGTAATTTACCTGGCTTCTGAGAATTACTTGTGAGTTATTTAAATGATGTAAAGTCTGTCAACTTGTTGTCTGCAATGCATTTCAATACCAATGTTAATTACACGTGAATCTTTTTCAATCTAGGTTAAAATTCATGTTTCCAAAGATATTGATAGGAGTCTGCTAAAGAGACAACTCAGGCCATAGTGTCCTTATTATCTTTGGAAAACATCCTGCTATTTGGGAAGCTTGATATAATTACCTTTTACTCTTATCAGTTTAGATAAATCCTTTTCTAACTCACTGGAGGATGAGCTGTACTGAAAAGAATCACAGTGTACTTTTTCCTGCTTGCCTCTATATTATTCTCTGCCAGTTTATCAGGTATTTAGAATCTGTCAGGATACACAGAGCATTGAAATGACCTGGCTGCACAAACAGGGTGATATTAGAGATCTATTGCCTAATCTCAACTCTTTTAGCATGACTATGTATAGTATTAGTATTTAGTATAAGGAAACACAGGAAATAAGGCAGTATTACCATGAGAGTAGGATCAGAATAGGATTAGTAAATTAAAATATATAAATTATTATTACAAACATTTTACAAAAATTTTGCTTTAGATACACTCAAAGTTACAGGACCAGTGGACAGGTATGGCAGAGCAGTCAGGATTTTCCATGGGTAAATTTAGATAAAAACCAGCAATAATGGATCTTCTTACACTGACATAAGGTGCTATGATCATGTAGGTTTATTTTACATCTTAGTTTTATTAGGATAATAACAGGAGTTACATTCTTAAGTCCTTGAACTATTCATGCAGCTCCCAAACTGTCTTGAATCTTTGTTGATCAACTTCAGTACATGAATTTGTAACTTCCTATTTGTATGCTATTGTTTTTTATTTACCCACTTTAGCATGTGATTAAGTAAAATCCCCATTACCTTTTACTGTGAAATCCTCCTGTCTGAGGTACATTCCTTGAAAATTTGTGACTTTCCAGCTAGTGTCCAGAGATCAACAGTACCCTGTCACCAGGACTGAATAAAGTCTAATAGTGGAGTATCTAACGAAAGGGTTGCACAGAACACTCAACTGCTTTTAAAATTTACTGTACAGCCCTTTTGAGGGGAGAGAGACTGACATAGGCTCCTCTGTGTTGTTGTTCCCCCCCCTTCTCTTTTCCTCTTACTCAGTGCCTCCTGATACCCTATATGCCTAATTTTCAACCATCTTAGTGTTTTCAACTACACAGGAAATTGTCAAGAAACCTTTTTGAGATACTAAGGATTAAGAGAAAGGGCTTTGGGGCAATAACTCATTAAAAAGCCAAAGAGAAGTAACCTTTGTTAGCATTCTCCAATCTTACATCCGCTAACAAACACTCTTAGTAAAAGCTATCACACAGGGTCTTATACTCCTGGGCTCCTCACAGACCCCCCTTTCAACTGATTATTTTACTTGAAACAATCCAGTGTTTGAATTAACAGTCTAACTGACTAATAGCTTACACTATTTATCATCATTTTCATAGGAAAAATCAAAATATTATCTTGAAATACCTTTTTCAGTGTTTTATATGCCTCTATGTAGGGGAATATAATGCTGAATGCTTCAGGCAGCCTTTATTAAAAAGTAAGATTATTTTAAAAACTATTTTTAAAGTTTTCAAAAAGTAATGGCTAGTCTCTGAATCTGTACACGTAGCACAATCACACAGGACAGACACAAACTAAATTAACACTCTGGATTATACCTAATATAGGAATATTAATAAGTCCCTTACTTAACCAATATTGTCCAGTAGATACTTTCCCTGGACTGCAAACTAAAAATGTAATATTCTGCTTGCATAAGCACTGTGATTAGCACATATTCTCAAGCTCTCTATTTGCTTATGCTTTATTTTGTTTACCAAACTGAGATTTTGTTGACGTGTTTGACAAATTTAGTTAAGTATATGTGTATTTTTTAAAGCCTTGTTAGTAATTAGCTGTAAATTACAGTGGCAATTATCACAATATGCTTTTATCTCAGATTCACTCATGATCGGCATCCTCCCAGTTATGCGCAATGCAATTTCCTCTCAATGAAGGACATGATAAATCCAAAACTTTCCTGCAGTAAACCCATGTAAAGGCCATTTTAGGGTAGCATGATATATAGCTGTAGGATAAATTCAGACCCTTCAAGCATGCATAAAAATGGTAGGGAAAGGGATGGAAAACAGGATTCTGAGGCAGTGTCTTACAGCTTCTTTTGTGGCTGCACCGAGGGAACAGTTTCTTGTGTAAGTCAAATGTTAGACAATAACCAGCTACTATGATGTCTTACGGTCAGAAAAAAATGCGGTTGGTGTCTGATCAAAGCTGGTCATTCTCTCACAGGAACTAGTTCATTTGTGTGCAGAAAACTGACCTTCAGGGAAATCAAATTCCTTAAAATTGCATTGTGGAGAATTAGAATTCACTCCCAGAACAACAGTAGCATCATTTTCATAAAAGAAAAACAGAAAACAGAAAACCAAAACCAAACCAACCCTGGGTTCCTGGACTAAGTTCTGCTCACCTTATCTCATGGTAGAGAGGAATATACTTAATCCCCAGAACAGTGTATTCAGGTTGTGCCTGTGTAGCCTTTATTTATTTATTAAAGAATGAAAGCCACGCAGATTTGGGATGGTTGCAGTGTTAGAGAGTTGCTAAGGCTAGCTGTGACAGTTTCAATGAGACATCTGTAGAAGCAAGGCTGTTGGCATTGCCTTTTTGCCCCCAGGTTGGTGTCCTACAGTACAGCTGGCAGAAGCAGAACATGTGAGCTGTCACAGACTGAAGCATGTTAGTGTAACCCAGTCTGATGAATCACAGACACGGATGTACGATACGAAATACCTGAAGGGTCATACTGCTTTCAAATACTTTGGCTGTCAGCAGAAGAAATGCAGGGAGGGCATGCAAAGCCTTCGGGTAAGAGGTACTGCCAGAGAAAGTCCACTTTTGTGTATTTTCCTAATAAGAACAAACTAAGAGACACTGCCATCTCTTCTGTAAGTCAGTGCTTTTCTGTATCTTTTACCTTCCTATTCTAACTCCAACAACTCCATGGAAGACATAGGTAGAAAATGTACCCATTTAAACAGTAGTGTCTATTTGTTGTTTTGCTCTACCATATGTACTTCTATACCTTCTTCGGGGTAATATAAAAGCTTGGTCAACTTGCAGCTCTTCATCGAAAATGATGGGATGGCCTGTGACACAATGAGCGGTCTACCATCTTTTCCATTGCAGTTTGATTTTCTCCTTAAGTTTTCTTAAGACAGGAGCCTGGCCTGTCGGATGTTTTGGAGCTACCACTCATATTTACGTTTACTCTGAGTCAAACACACATCACAAAATTTCATTTGACTTGCACTCTGTGCACTCATATCATGATCAATTACAACCTCCAGCTGGGTAATCATTTTGAACTTCAAACTAGTGACTACTATGTGTTATTCTGGTTTCTCCTATACTGTTTCTGTAATTTAACTTGTTTAAGTAATTACTCTTTACTCCTGACCTAGGCATAAAACTACAAGAAATTGAGCTTTAAATGGTCATTGATCAGCAGAAGGATATAGAGAAATATCTAATTACATTGATCTTTGAGAAATGTTGCTCGCTTTAAGTCACAATTACGATCCTTTCTCTTTGTGAAGTAGAGCACTGAACTTTTCTGACTGATTATGTTCTGCAGATACACTTGTCAGATACTGCTTTAACTGTCTGTTAATTACAATATAGGTATCTATGACCCAGAGATAAGGTTAAGAAACCAATAATGAACAATGCAATGACCACAGCACTATACAAAATGCCATGGACAAAATCACTGGTTGGCCAGCCACAGACTAATAGGATACTTGACCGACTATTCCAGCATTTAAAGTTTGCACTTACCAACCTCCACAACACTAGAGCAATTGGGGTCTGTGAAGCCTTCAGGACACTCGCATGAGTAGAAGTCATCATTCAGCCCTGACAGACAGATGCCACCATTTCTGCATGGGTTGGAGTCACACACATCCCCTGTGGGTTAAAGGAAAAAAGAATTCCTGTATAAAACTCTCCAAAAGTTAATGCACAAGTTCTAAGTATGACAGATTGCTGATAACCAAGAACAGAAAGGAATAACAACCTCTGTGTCCTCTGAATACCTTTTGGCTAATTCCATTTGTTATTTATTTAACAGCACACCTCTGTGTAATCATCTCCCCCTAGCCTTCTACTCTGTAAAATGTGATTCTCTTAGATACACTGACAGCTATTCACTTGCAAAAGACAAAATTTAACAAAAAATACATTTTTGCTTTCTCTCATTTGAAGTCATTCAGGACATATACTTGGAAAGGAATTTACCCAGGATTCTATCTCTCTAGGTTTCCTTCAACATAAAGCTGAATGGTGGTTTCAATTCAGGCTATTGGCTTATCACCTAGTTCATAAGCAATGAACTGTGGCTGTAGCTACACCATCATGTGCTCCAGACTTATGCTCCCTTAAATCACTCTATAGCACAGATTTGATCCAGATCAGGCATTGGCAGGCAGCTGTATTTCTGCTAAACACAGAGCATGGCATTCAGGCCATGTGTGCTTCTATGTTGGCTTTATGTCAGTCAGACGAAGACCAATTATATGTGATCCCAGGATAAAGTTTAACACTGCAGACTAAAGCCATTGAAGTGTTTTGAGCAATTTCATTCTAACAGTAAGTTCACACCCAACCAATGATTTTTGATGTGGAGCCCTATGACTGGAGCTGCTGTATGTTCACACTGTGCCCCCAGAGAGGCTTCCACTATGACTTGTGACCCACCAACTCCATAGAGGGATGGAAGCTAAAGGACTTGAGCAGCCAAAGTCCCTCAGTGCTCCTCAACAGTCCCCTCCATGTTCCAGGGAAGTTTGTGAAGTTCTCCCATAATTCATTTTGATTGCAGAATCAGAACGAATCAGTTAGAAACAAAGCTATGCTTTGCTTCAAAACTATGCTATGCTATGAACCAACTATGCTTCAAAACTTCCTGGGACACAGGGCAAGCTTCAGCCTGCCTAAATAATGCTAAACAAGCAGATTTTGCTTATCCTTCAATTGCTCTTCAGTGAAGACACCCTATTCAGTCAATTAGCATTGAGGTGATCAACAGTGGAAAGACATAAACTCTGAAAGATGCACCGCAGGGCTGCTGCTTAAGCTCCGAAGTTGAATATGTCTCCAGTATTACCGGTGTGTACAACACATTACTGTGATTTCCTATCTAATATTATTTAAAATGGCCTTCATGAAGAGATATAAAGAAGAGAACAGAGTCTCTGTTCAATTCTTGTAATTCCTCAGTTTTAACACCCTTAAAGAACCCCACCCTATCACAGTTCTACAATTATGCAGAAATACAGCACTGCATCCTGTTCCCAATGGGATAACTGGACACAATCCTAAAAAATGCCCTAGGCTTTGTCAGCTTCAATTTCATTTTTTTTTCTCAGATAATTAAATACATATTTAGATGTATTATTAAAAAATAAGTACATTATTTTGTATGCTTTTTAAAATTGAAACATTGCCAGTCTTTTGCCATGTAATTGTAAAGAGTTCTAGAAATCCACTTGCTTATGTCAGTAGTACTGACATTATAATACATTTTGGACTACAGTGGTAGTAAGGGAACTCAAAATCTTTTCAACGCCTTTCTGGCAAATCGACTTCAGATTAGTGCCTGGTGTAAGAATTCTAATCTAGCAATCACTTAAGAAATTTAACTGATATACAAAACTGCCTTTATGAATTCCGTGCATCAGCAGCAAAAAACTCTAGTTGTGGGATAGTTTGCTGGGTTATTTTTAATTTTATTTAATTTTACGCTGTCAGCTTAAAGCTGCCTTCATGACACGGAGAATTGTCTTGTGTCTACATACTTGGTATTAACAGTTTTCTCTTGAAAACTGTCCCGCTGGCAGAGAAGTAGAGCTATTTGAAAAAAGGCAAAAGACACAAGACATTACCTGTCTAATGACTAGACATTATCTGTCTTCCTAACCGAATCTAAATAAGTCAAGACTCCTCATTTTCAGTGCTTGCTGCATTATTGGGGTAGCAAAGGATGCTTGTTTTTTTACTTCATAGGGCTTAGGCATTTGCTTGTGAAAGAACAACTACTATTAACTGAATGCTTTAACAACTGTATTCCCATAACTTTAATTAAATTAATAAATAGCATCTGAAGCAGGAAAACTTATGCAAATCTGTATGGATATTCTGATTAAAATGAGAGGGGACATTTTTACTATGTGTTTCCTGATTCAGTGTTCTTCTGATTTCAATTATGCAATACAAGAAAGAAAAAGAAAGGCAAAAATACAAAATATTGTTTCCATTTGTAAGTTTTATATTGACTGACAAGCAGAACACATCCCCAGTTTTCCGTTGTATTTCCGGAAACTGACATCGCCTACTATAACTGAAGTGTGCATACTTAACTATGTAGTTTTCATCTGTCTGAAAGTTCATGTTGTTTTTTCCAGTCTGAAGTGACCCACCTACAGTTCAGGACTAATAAAGCAGATGCTGTCCTCTAACAACAGTCATTTATTTCCACATTCAGGAAATAACTGCAGTAAGTGCTCTATTGACCCACCACGTTGGGCCAAATTCTACTGTCAGTCACGGGTATAAATTTTTAATTGTCATTGTATCACAACACAGCAATAAAATGAATACAGCACACTTAAAAAAAAAAATTGTTCTCTAGGCTTTTTTTAACGACTATGACAGCTTTCGTCCATAGTGAGTAACTCCATTAGTGAACTTCGATCTCTTATTAAAAGCACTTGGAGAGGAACTGTTACGTTATTCCACGACATACCTTCACATAACCACTCTTAAGCCATATCCTTTTCACAAAATACTGAATGTACAACTATTGCTTTTTTTCCACAAGCAGGTAATGGTGGGGAGGAGGGTAAAAATTGTAAATCCGCTCTTTGTTGAACTTTACACTTTTATGTAGCATACTTTTTGATCCTATAAAACCCCACAAAATGTTACACGATTCTTGACTGAAGAGTGCAATACTTTGCTTGACAGCAAAGGACAACTTGAAAAAAGGAACTCAACTGCTGTGTATAAATAATGCAGCACACCATGATGGTTGCAGTTAGACCATCAATCCTTGTCAAGAACAGAAATTCACAGAGTTTATGAAAACAATTTTTGTGATATGAAGGCTAAAGAAGATGCACTGTGCAAACAGAAGAGTACCATCCACAACCACCTGCACACAATACTTCATAAAGCACTCTTGGTTGTAACAGCACATAGACCAGCCAGCTACCATTACTATATGCAAATCAATTTGCAGTTCACTAATGTTTGTCAATGAAAAAAAGAGAAAGAATTATTTACTCCAACTTAAAACTCTTTACTCTTGAACATTATAGCTCCTGAGATAGCAATATCTGCAAAAAACCTAAGGTACAGGATCCTGAATTAGGCATGGGAGAAGCATTCCAGTCCCTATGCACAAAATCATTATCCTCAAATTAATACAATTTCCCTCAACTATCTTATAACACCTAGAATGACAACTGTTACTATTTCTGTCAGAAGTGTTACTGTAAGAAATATCTGCTTGAGACAATGAAATAATGACAAAGAAAGATACATAATTTCAAAAAATCACACGGATTCACAAGATTTCAAAACTGGAAGGAAAGAAGTGATAGAAGAAAGATGATTCCAGTGTTTGGCCACTTTTTCTTCTATAATTTAAGAATAGAGCATATTCCCTGAAATAAAATGTATGCCTGGAAAAATTCAACCCTATTTATTCTTTTATATAATGTTCATTGAATATAAATATGAACACGTTTAGTATGCATTACATATTGATGCAGTGAAATTTACAGAAGCAGATACTGAGGTAAATATACTGATACTGCAGGAGTCCAAGGAGATGCTGACACTCATTGAAACAAAAGGCATGATGAAATCTAGAGGTAAACAGCTGCAAATGTAATGACATACAAGTTCAGGGTGCTAACATGCAAGTTGTTAGGAGGTACAACACTCTTCACTGGTATGCTATACAAAGGGTGCTTTGTAGCTCAAGTGTTTGGTTTCACCATTGATGGGAAAAGGTGGACCATTGCTTCTACCTAAAATAGCAGCTTTATTTTTATTCAATTTCCTATATTGCTACATGAAATATGGCTTACTTTAAAAGTTCTTTCTAAAGAGATAGAATGAATAGCTATTCCCTTTCATGACAATAAAACTTGTTACAAAGAAGAAATCTCCAGCTGGCACCAAAGAATAAACAGTCCAGAAAACACACAGTCAATAGAAATTTGGTCTAGCGATAGTAAAAATGAGCCTCAGTTCTGAAGCCCAGAAGAGTAACTAAGCTTCAGAATAAGACTGAGAAAGTACTTGCTACCAGTAGCAGTTTAATGTTAAAATAAATTTTCAGAAAAGAGCTTTAATAGTTTTCTGATTTACAGAATCGTGTGTACAGTGTCCAAGTTCAAATCTATTTCTCCACAGCTGAACCACTACTGAAAAGCAGAACTATAAATCATATTGAAGACACACCTGTGCAGAGATGCAAAACGTGAACATGAAAACAGATGAGGTCTGCAGTTCTTTTAAGAAATTTGTAAGCTGTTTTTTCAGATTTAATGGTGAGGCAGCTATTTCCCAAGGTAAAAAGACAGTTGAATAATTAATTAGTATCCTTTATTATTTGAAAGGAAAGTTAAAGTTCCTAGATGTCAATAGTTCATCTACCTCCTTCTGCTTGTTTTCTGGGCCGATTTGCTTACTATGCAGGTAGAAGGCTCAGCTAACTTTCTAACTACAATATTCATGGCAGACTGTTTAAATGGTTTTAGAAAATGAATAAACTGATATCATCAACTCTGAACGTCTGTATACAAATTGGATGGGAAAACTTACAAGGGAATGTAAATCTCAGAATAATAAAGTCATGATTTTATCACAGATCTCATGAAAATTGAGGTAGTTGCTTC